TGTTGTTGGACAAGCAAGTGACCAGGACGTCAAACAATAGTCCATATGAGAGATGATCATTGAGTAAAAATAAGTTTTTGCAACATTCATATTTAAATTATTACGTATATGATTAAAATTTCGATTATTAAATTTAAGTTTAACTTCTAAAGGTTTATTAATGGGCAAAGATGTGGCTTCATAAACATGCTGTGTTTGTGCCGTAAGACCTTTGAAGGGAAACAAAAACAGCAAATTAGCATATGTTTATATGATCGTGTGGCATGTACGCTTAGCTGTCTAATAAAACAGTTTCACTAAAAATACATTTACTTTAATAAACCTTGAGTGTAGAAGTACTGCTCCTTGGTTTAGCCAGTCAGATGTGAGATTTTGCTGCTTTTGCATCATTTCTAATGTGACAGTAAACATGATGTATTTAGCATCTTGATGTTTCAGAGCAAACACACTGTTGCAGATTAAAAACTGACAGACTGTCAGCCTCGGCTTCGCGTGCAGCGCCACAGGTGAAAACTCATCGAGTATATTTGCTCAAGCGTGGTCACGGCGAACCCACCGTTTACCCATGATTCCTCTGGGAACAACACCCACGATTATGCAGGAAACACTACACAAAGGTCACGGTGGCCGACTAGTGAATGCATCATCTGGGCACGGCTTCGCAGCCAGTGGGATGAAAGAAAAAGGAGGCGGTGCTTAACAAAAGTGGTCCAAAGAGAGTATGCAGTGGTGAAGTATCATGTTATGACACAGACTTGTTTGTAGTTTCAGTATTTAAGACAAAAGAAAGTAAATCTGCACAGCTAACTGGGATTAAACTCCTCGACTTTAATGTAAACAAAAGCCTGACAGCTCTGATTACTGCTGCTTGTTTAGTAGTTTTAACTGCTTATTAAAGATGCGGGTCGAGACGCCACAGCCGACATGTGTTTATGGCCCTCTCTCGCCCATTCACACTCACTCACATCTAATGGATGACTGGCAATGGGCTGTTCGCAGTGATATACAGCTGCAAGTCCTGGCACTGCTCCCGTTCTCCATTCACGATTTCACATGATTTCTCGTGCGTCTACATTTTGGAGCCGCTGCGCTGCATCGACGTCTATTTCTGGACTGTGCGCCCGCTGCAGTGAGCAGCCTCTGCAGCAGCCCTGACCAGCTGCGCCTCAGAACGCCACATTTCTTTCCCACCTACAGTGGCGGAAAGCGTTTGGCTTCGTGACTATGAACACTTCTGCTTTTAGCACATTGCTCCTCCAGGGTTTAGTTTGTGGAAGTGTCCTCACTGCACAGAAAAATCCCCTGACTGTGAAAGTGGGCATTTCAGCCA